GAGGAGAGGTTAATCACAAAGCCTAATCCAACTGGGGTTTCAGCAGGGATGAGTAGAGAGTGATTTCAAAGTGGTGCAGAGACAAACGGAGAAAGGGAGGTGAGTCATGTGCAGAGAATTCAGTGCTGTAAGTCACCTTTGCCTGAGTCAGCAGGTGACTGCCACATTCCTGAGGGTATTAAAGAATGACACAGTTTGGTTTGAATCCATCCCATTTGTTGATTCTTTTTTTTATTATTATTATTACATGACAATAGTGGAATGCATTACACTCCTTATTACACATATACAGCACAATTTTTCATAACTCTGTATATAAAGTATGTTCACGCCAAATTATACCATTATACATGTACTCTTTTTTTTGCATTACAATTCTTAATACACATATATACCATAATGTTTCATATCTCTGTTTGTATATAAGGCATGTTGACAACCAAATTCAAGTCTTCATATGTGTATTTTGTATAATGATGACCCCATTTGTTGATTCTTGATTTTACTTCCTGCACTTTAGGAGTCTTGTTAAGAAAGTCAGATCCTAGACCAACATGGTGAAGATTTGGACCTATTTTTTCTTCTATTAAGTGTAGGATGTCTGTTCTGGCCCCTGAGTCTTTGATCCACTTTGAATTGAGTTTTATGCAGGGTGAGAGATAGAGGTTGAATTTCATTTTATTACATATGGATTTCCAATTTTCCCAACACTGTTTGTTGAATAGGCTATATTTTCTCCAGTGAGTGTTTTTGGCACTTTTTCTTTCCTTTCTTTTCTTTTCTTTTTAAATATTTTTTTAGTTGTAGATGAATACAATATCTTTATTTATTTATTTTTATGTGGTGATGAGGATCAATTCCAGTGCCTCATGCACGTGAGGCAAGAGCTCTACCCCTGAGCCATAACCCCAGCCCCTTAGCACCTTTTTCTAGAATGAAATGACTGTATTTATGTGGGTTTGTGTCTATGTCTTACACACTGTACCATTGGTCTACATGTCTGTCTTGGTGCCAATACCATGCTGTTTTTGTTACTGTGGCTGTGTAGTGTAATTTAAGGTCTGGTGTTGTGATGCCTCCTGCTTCACTTTTCTCACTAAGGATTGCTGTGGCTACTCTGGGTCTCTTGTTTTTCCAAATTAATTTCATGATTGCTTTTTCAATTTCTATAAGAAATGTTACTGGGATTTTAATAGGAATTTCATTAAATCTGTATTGTGCTTTTGCTACTATGGCCATTTTGACAATGTTAATTCTACCTATCCAAGAACAAGGGAGATCTTTTCATCTTCTGAGGTCTTTATTGATTTCTTTCTTTAGTATTCTGTAGTTTTCATTGTAGAGGTCTTTCACCTCTTTTGTTAGATTGATTCCCAAGTATTTTATTTTATTTTATTTTATTTTTTGAGGTTATTGTGAATGGTAGAGTTTTCTAATTTTCCTAAATCATCACTGATGTATAGGAACGCGAAACTAAGAAGCTCCTTCTCAGCAAAGGAAATAATCAATAACGTGAAGAGAGAGGCTACAGAATGGGAGAAAAACCTTTACCACCTGCACCTCAGATAGAGCATGAATCTCCAGAATATGTAAAGAACTCAAAAAACTTAACACCCCCCAAAAAACAAATAATCCAGTCAATAAATGGGCAAAGGAACTGAAATGTTCACAGAAGAAGAAACACAATAGATCAACAAATATATGAAAAAAATGTTAAACCTCTCTAGCTATTAGAGAAATGCAAATTAAAACTGCTCTAAGATTCCATCTCACTCCAGTCATAATGGCAATTATCAAGAATACAAGCAACCACAAATGTAGGCGAGGATGTGGGGGAAAAGGTAAACTCAGATATTGCTGGTGGGACTGTAAATTGGTGCAACCACTATGGAAAGCAGTATGGAGATGCCTCAGAAAATAACTTGGAATGGAGCCACTATTTGACCCAATTATCTCACTCCTTGGTTTATACCCAAAGGACTTAAAAATCAGCATACTGCAGTGACACAGCCACATCAATGTATATAGCAGCTCAACCCACAATAGCTAAACTATGGAACCAAACTAGGTGTCCTTCAATAGATGAATGGATAAAGAAAATGTGGTATTTATACACAGTAGGATATTACTTGGCCTTAAAGAAGAATGAAATAATGGCATTTGCCTGTTAAGTGAAATAAGCCAATCTCAAAAACCCAAAGAACTAATGTTTTCTTGATAGGCGGATGCTAACTCACAATAAAGAGGGTGGGGTAGGGAAGAATAGAGTTATTTTGGATTAGGTAGAGGGGAGTAAAGGGAGGGGAGGGGATATGGGGTAAGAAGGAGAGTAGAATGAATCAGACATTATTACCCATATACATATATGACTACATAACTGATGTGATTGTACATCATGTGCAACCAGAGGAATGAGAAGTTATGCTCCATTTATGTATGATGTGTCAACCTGCATTCTACCGTCATGAATAACTAATTAGAACAAATTTTTAAAAAGTAAATATGAAAAATCATTTGAAAAAAAATGACATAGTTTGAGCCACAGGGACTCAGCTCAGTCAGAGTAACTGTAGATTGCAGGGATAGTCCCACCTGAATCCGTATCAAATCAAGGTGGAGAGTTCCACCCTGAATTTACATCAAGTCAAGGTGGAATTTGCTTCCTTTTGCCCTTGGGGAGAGCAAGGTGAACCTTGGTGTTATTTTCTAAGCAGTATTTTGGTTTAACTCAGACAGGGTCTTTTTTTTCTCTTCTGGATTCTCTCAGAAGGCTCTCTGTGCAACCGCTGGGGACCTCAGCCTGGCCAGGCAACTTCTGCACAGTGGCCTTCATCAACAATCAAGCAAGACTCCCAAGGCGTGGCTAATGCTGGTGACCCATCAGACACCTTCCCCAGGCTGCACATCTGTCCCCCTGTTGTCCAGGGGACATATTTGCCCCTGCCTCAAAAGGATTGTCTTGGCCAGTGTGAGCCAGTGTTACCCCTAGGGGAGTTTGTATGGAAGACTCTAAGCCATTGATTGACCAACTGTTGCAGGACTTAATGGATGAGCTCTTTACCTCTGAGCAAGAAGCTGGCCTGGTGCAATTCGTGCCCAAGTTCCCATGGGATCAGGCCTTTGTTCCTCAAACTCACCCAGGTTTGCCTCCTCACACCTCCCAGGCCTCCTAAGAGCCCCCTGGCCTAGGTCCCAGGAACCCAACCTCAGGTGTTGCAATGTGAACTCCCTACTTCCTCTGGTGAGACTGCACCATGGAGTCCCTTCTGCTTCTCACATTATCTCACGGCTTTAAGATCAATGCAGGTTTGTGTTTATGTCTAATTTGCCACTTTGAGCTCTTTAGTAACCTAAGTCTTTTTTAATAAGCTGCCACTTAAGGTCCAAGATTTTAAATTCGACTTGTTGGCTCCTCTCGCCTCTGCCCACTGTGTCCCTTTAGGTCTCGGATGGAGCCTATGTGACAGGCCCTCCGGAGCCCAGTAGTCACCTCTGTTCACAGGCCTCATGGACACGGAGCAGGAACGAGCCTTCTTGCCCGGTCAGCCCAGCAGAGGCCTGAAGCCTAGTCAGCCAGGCTCGCCAGGTCAGGGACATCAATTTTGACTGGAGTTCAGTGGGAAATTCAAGAAAGGAGGTAAGTGAGGCTTCTATTGGGAACTTGGAACTGGCTGAAATCTATTTGCCATGCTGCTACCCTACTCTCTAGGGAGGGCAGATGGAAGGCGTGGTGGGACACAGGCCTGACTCACACGCATGTGCTCTGGGGAAAGCTGGTGTTCTCACCCTCTCGCTTCCTCTCTGGACTCCACGGGGTCAACAAAAGCCAAGGAGTGGAGTAGAGGGTGCACAACCCGGCCCCTGCACCCACACAGCAGCACCTGGGCTGTACAGCCAGCAGGACACAGGACACAGCCACAGGTGGAGAGGCCACGTGAACTGAGGCCATGTCTGCAGGGCTGGCCTCAGTTCACATCACCTTGGAGGCTGTGCTCTCGTTGTCAAGTGTGTAGGCTCATCGACAAGGAAATGGTGCTATGATTAAGAACAGGCCCTGGGCTCAGACAGACAGACTTCTCTCTGGGAGGAAACCCACCACACAGACCTGTGCTTGGGGCCTGGCTTCTCCCCATCATTCTCCCTTTGGTGACAACTGGGTGTTCAGGGTTGCAGTGTGCCCTTCTCCCACACAACCTCCAGCCACCCCCGTGCTCATTTCCCTTCACCTGGGGCGCCACAGCTCATTGTTCCATTTGCTGGAAGCTTCCGGGAACAAATCTCTGAGTGTTTCATGCTTCGTACGGCACTGTACACAGTTACAAATTAATCAATAAAATCTAATTCCATGGTCCAGCGCTTGCTTGGGGCACGGCAAACGCATTTTGTGAGCACTCTGAATCTCTATGCCTCTAGTGAATGTCAGGGCAATTAGGAATCCAAGTATGAATTTTCCATTTCCACTCTGAAAATGTACCCTGCATTTTCTAATCCCCTTCCTTTAACTCATGTAGTTTCATTAACGAAAACAGCCATTTTCATTACAGTGTGGTATTTGGAATTGGCAAAAGACAAAGAGATAAATGAAACAGAATGGAAGGCCTTGAAATAAACTCCAAGTGTAAACGGGAAGCCAAAATGTGGCAAATACATGAGGGGAAGTAGCCTCAAGCAGGGTCTGCAAGCTTTTCAAGCAAATTCCAGATAAATATTTTAGAGTTAGCAGGCCACGTAGGATCTCTGTACAAATTCGTATTCATATTTATATATATATATATATATATATATATATATATATATATATATATATATATATGTGTGTGTGTGTGTGTGCCTATGTATATGTCCTCTTAAAAACAGAAAACCATGCCTTTTGAAGACATGTAAAAATAGATCAAAAGTCATGGTTGACCCACAATACATAGTTGTTTTATATATATATATATATATATATATATATGATTATATATATATTAGTCAAGTGTGTGTGTGTGTGTGTGTGTGAATGCATATATACTCATATAAGAAAACAGAAGAGAATATATTTGTATATTTGTGATTTAGGGAGATTGAGAGTAAGGAGAGACTTCTTAAGTAAGACCCCAAACTAACAGTTACAAGGGAAAAGGCCAGTCCCTGTGAATACATCGAGGTGCAGGACTTCTTGCCAGGCGTGGTGATGTACATACACACTGACACGGGGAGACAAGGTCAGCCCCAGGAGTTGGAGGCCAACATGGGCATCAGAGTGAGATTCAGTCAAAAAAAAAAAAAAGGAAACCAAACAACACAACTTCTTAATGACAAAAGAATCATAGGCAAGATTTTAAAAAGAATTCCATTTCCAACAGTAGAGTGAGCTAAGTACTCAGATTGAATATCACCCCCACGTTCACCCTTCTATTGAAAACAAATGAAAATGCAGATTAAATTGTAAAAATTTTGTAAACATCTAAATGCATTGATTTTTTAAAAAATATTTTTATAGAAGGTAAAGGGAAAACTGAGACCTGGATGGGCAAGCTCGCCTTCTCTTGGAGGGCATTTGTCTATCATCAGCCCAGAATGTGCCCAGGTGAGAGTAGAGTAGAAGACAACCTCCGTTCCTGCTTAGAGCTGAGCCCTCTGAAGGTCCTTGCCAACCCATGGGTAAACTAGGGCTAAATACTGCCACCCCACTGCCTGCCCAACAGACCTCAAAAACACTCCCAACTCAGACCTTCAACTGAGTGCAGGAGAGAAGACTCTCTTGTTGATTTCAGAAGGATAAAACAGCCGCACGTGGGCTTGCAACTGAATTCACAAGGCACAGAAGACAGGAAAAAATCTAAAGCCAGGAATTTCATTTAAAGTGGCGTCTGGTAGGGCCCCCAGGCACCTAGCAGAAGCAAAACAAATATTTACCGCAGAAATCTATCTTCAACCCAGTGTCAAAGTTCCAAAAACATCAGCTCACAGTTCAAAAACCCTCAAACAGACAAAGAACCAAGTTACCTTAAGAGGAAGCTGATACATAAAGCCGAGCCCCACGTGCGGAGATGCCACATGTAGGCATTAACAAACGCACAATAGTAAGTGTGTTTAAAAAAAGAAATTGAAAATAAGAGTAAAGACTAAGAGATCAGAATTGACAAGCAGATTTGAAAATAATGGAAATTTCTGGAAATAAAGCATATTATCCACTAACAACTGAATTTAAAACTCAGTAGAACAATAGAAGCAGGGGTGTCAATTAAGAGGCTGTTGCAATAGAGGCTGGGGTGACTTGGGCTTAAGATGCATGATGGCAGTCTGCTCACCACCCCAAATACTGCATAAACTGGTGGCCAGTGGCTTTGGAGCAGTCCCTGAAAGGAGAGGAGCAGGTGAGGTATGCCTCGGAGGCCCCACTCATTGGTGGGGAAGCTATCTAGGTCCAGCAGCATTTGTTGGAAAGAGCAGGTGTGTCCCCACCACTCCTCTTTAAACCTTTATGAAAATTCAATTGACCAAATACTTGTGGTTCCTTTCCCTACTCTCTATTCTATCCCATTGATCTTGGTCTATTCTGATGCAAATACCACACTGTCCTGACTACTTTAGCATCATAATAAGTCTTAAAATCAGGTGGCCTAGTCCAGGCAGCATGGTATTCACATTAAAATGGGCAAATAGATCAACAAATGGTGCTGAAACAATCCATCTGACATCTTAAGAATTATATAAAATAGATGAAAATGGATCATAGGCCTAAATATAAAGCCTAAAAGTACAAAGCATTAGAAGGAAACAGGAGAAGTGACCGTGGTTAGACACACATTTTTAGTCAGGGCACTGAAAGCAAATCAACAAAAAATAATTTTATCCAAATTAAAGATGCATGCAACTTCTTTAACCCTGTTAAGGAGAGGAAAAGACAAGCCATGCCCAGGAAGAAAACAGTTTCAAATCACATGACTGGGAAAGGACTTAGAATATATAAAGAATTCTCAAAACCAACAGTAAAAAAATAAACAACTCATTTTTTAAATGGGAATAAGATTTGAACAAAGACTTTACCAAAGAAGATAGACGAATGGTAAATCAGCACACGAAAAGGTGCGCAATATCGTCAGCAAATTCTAAGTATAAGGAGCTACTGCTACACACCTATTTAAATGACTGAAACTGTAAAGAATGGCCATGCTAAGCATCACCAGGGATGTGAAGAAGCTGGCACTCTCCTTCACACACTGCCAGTGCAAATATGGAAAGTACACAGCCTCTTTGGAAATCAATTTGGCAGCTTCTTCTGCTTCTTTATTTTATTTATTTATTTATTTATTTATTTATTTATTGCAGAGCAGGGGATGGAACCTAGGGCCTCACATGTGCCAGGAAAAGGGAACGGTGCCCCTTCCATGTGGCCCAGCCAGTCCAGGGTCAGGAGCTTCCTCCAGAGAGGTTAGAGCAGGTGTGCTTATACAATCTGAATATGGGCATGCAGAGTTTCCTTTGTATCAGTCCCAAACTGAAACAAACCAATGTCTGCCAACAAGTGAATGAACAAACTGTGGCATGTCCTCCCAGTGGCACACTGTTTGATAAAACAAAGGAATGACATACTCAACAACATGACAAGTCTCACAATAATCATGCCGACTGAAAACCATGAGGCCAAAACAGAAGAACAGTATACAGTGTATACATATGTATGTATGTATTCCCATTTCTATAAAGTCTAGAAAAACAAACTAATCTATAATGACAAAAAGTATATCAGTTGTTACTGAGGATGGGAGGCAGCCGGTGGGCAAGAGGGAAGAATTACAAAGGGGAAGAGGAGACTTTGGGAGGGAATGGGTATGTCCATTATCTTGAGAGTATTTTTAGTTTCTCAGGTGTATACATGTGTCGAAACTTAGTAAGCTGTATGCTTTAAATAGGTGCAATTTATTAAAACTCAATTATATTTCTTTTTTCTCAATTATATTTCAATAAAACTTTACAAAAAGTAATTCAGTAGATTAAGAACACTAGCAAAATTTCAAAGATACTTCTGAACAAAGTATCCAGATTATAGCAGAAAGAAATAAAGTTGATAAAAGTAAAAGAGAGATAGATGAAAGATAAAGTCTAAGATACATTATTTCAATGCTTCAGAAACAGAGGAAAGAGAATGGGGGGTGGGGGGTGACAGTGTTTGAAGACTGACAGCTGAGACTTTTCTAGTGAGATATGAATTCACAAACCGTAAAAGCTCCCTGGATTCCTAATGGAATACATAAAAAGCCATGTACACCTATACACATCAAAGTAAAACTGTGGAACACCAAAGATTAAAAGAAGATCTTAAAAGTGGCCAGAGAGAAAAGACTTTGAAAAGCAGAGACGTGGCTGAGAGCTGAGTAATAGCTGACTCCTCCAATACCAAATGGAAACCAGGGGCCACACCATGACGGCTTTGATGTGCCCAGATGAAGCTCAGTCACCCCGGAACTGTGAGCAGCAGAAATATTTTTCAACAACGATGATGAAATAAATGTATTTTCAAGCTAATAAAAACAGAGAGTGCTTTCTCACCTCAAGAAACCCTAAGTGATATGCTTTAGGCAGAAGGAAACATTCCCAGAAGGAAGGTCTCAAGTTCAGAACAGAGTGAGAGGGTGAGATGCGGAGTACAGACAAGCGCATCACAGTGGACACACAGGAAACCTACCTAGTGTCTCCAACAGGCAAAGAGCCCGTACAAATCTGAGGCATATGTAGGATCCTGTGAAGCATGTCTGTCATCAAAACCTGACAACAATGAGCTCCAATGAGCAGTGATGGACCTCACCCTAGAGGTGAAAATCCCCAGCGAAGACAAGTGGAGGGTGGCCTGTGTGTCCTCACACCATAGGATCTTCAAAAGCATAATGCTGAGCTAGAAAGTCAGGCTGATGGATCCTAACTGCTGCAGGTTTATGATGTGCTTCAAATGCACAAAGCAATGCTCTAGGTGGTGATGAATACATCACTTTCTAGATGACATATGAAATCATGGATTGACACGATTTTGAGTGAAGTACATGAAACTACCTCATTATTTTTTTGATTTTATTTTCCTTTTCTACATATTATATATAATGCATATGGTAATGATTTATTTATTTATATTCAATTTTTTATTTACTTATTATATTATATATAATACCTGCGGTAATGTTTCATTTATTTTATTTTAAGGCTTGGAGGAAAATGTGAAATGATGTTAATGTTTGTTAATTTTGTTTTTGTCATTTGCCAGAAGTTTGGTATTTTTTCTTTCTAAATTTCCCCATATTTTTTTATTTTTCAAAAAAAAAAAAGGAAAAGAGAACAGATACTCTGATGCATGAATTTTATCATTCATGAGCTCTGGCCCACTGGGAAATCTCTGCTGCAGGATTTCATTTTCCATAGAAATTAAGACAACTGAAGCAGAAACGGCAGACACATAGATACGCAGACCCAAGACACAGGTTCTTTCACTCTCTGAGGAGAGAACGCAAGTGGCAGACCATGACTGATCGGTGATAGGCGCATCCATAGGTGATGGAGAGGTGATTGATGGACATAGGCAGATACTCAGATGATAGGTGATAGCTGGATTCACAGGTGACAGATGATTGATAGATGATAGGCAGAATCCTAGATGATAGATAATTGATAGATATTGGATAAATAGATGATACATAGGTGAAATACAGACAGATAATTGATAGATGATAGATATAGGGAGATGGGTAGATAGATACCTGTAGACATGGGGGTGGTAGATGGATAGATAGAGTGACAGACAGAATAATGCCCCCACAAAGGTGTCCATGTCCTAGTCCCCAGACCTATGAATACATGACCTTATATGGCAACAGGGAATTTATAGGTGTGTTTAAAGGACACTGACCTCACACTGGTGATTATCCCGGATTTTCCAGTTGAGCCTAATCTAGGTAATCACAAGAGGGCTTATCAATGAAAAAAGAGGCAGAGGATTGTGTCTGCGGGGAGGATGAAGCACAAGAAGGAAGACCTGAGCTACCAGCGGAGAGGCTGAATCCTGTACCCAACCCAAGCCAACAGACACAATTCTCCCCCAGAGGTTCCAGAAGGGTGCAGCCTGTGACACCCCAACTTGGATCTGGCAATCTCCATGCTGGAATATTGGCCCTCAGAACTCTAAAGTAATTACTGAATGTTTGTCATTAAAACAACACCCTATGTCTGGCGATGTGTTATATCAGCAATAGAAAACTAACCCAGACAAGCAAGCAGGTGTACAAAGAGGCCCCATACTTCATCAGGAAAATATTCCTGTATAGTTATCCACAAAGTCAATGCATATGAAACAACTCCTGTGTCACTCTTGACTTCTTTATAAATCAGCCATAAACTACCATGTTAAAAGTGGGTTTGGGTTGGCTTCAACATGCAGAGCCCTTCTGAGGAGCAGAACTGAGCTACTCCTTGTGTGGCCTTGAGCATGAGTGTGACACACTGGCAGATGAGGGGCCCTTTCAGCATCATCCCAACGCTACCACCCAGAACTGGGCCCCAGCTCCAGGCCCTCTGAAGGACAGCCATTTCTCTGAGAGGCTCTGATATCCAGGCAATTCCATCACCAGAAACCTGATGACCCTTGAGGCTTCTGGGAGTCCAACAATGGCAGCTCCCTGGTCACATCTGCACAGGCCAAGTGAGACAGAACCAGCACCTTGGGAGAGGTGTGTAAAGAACCATTTCCCCTCACCCAGGGTCATCTCCCGGACCCTGTCCAGACATTAACATCATAAGTCTCAGCATTGCTTCTGAGTGGCAAGGATAGAGACACTTGGGCATGATCCTCTCTCCGCTAGCTATGTGAGCTTGAGGAGGCCACTGTGGCAGACACTTCATCTTGTGTGCTCTCCTTGCTCTCCTCAAGGGTGGGAGAAGCTGTGACTCGATGCCTATAAAAGATGGCAAAGGTGAAGGTACCTGGCTGATGTAATGAAAGTCCCTTATCAATTTGCTGTAATTAAAGTCCCTGGGAGGGCTTTGCCTACTCTGGGGAGCCCTTCAGCAATGGGTTTAGAGATCAGAGACCTGAGGCTGCAAAGACCTTCTGTCTCTGCTGCTGACCTTTAAGAAGCAAGCTGCTGTGAACCCCATGCCTCAGAACTGCAACCTCTGCCCACAATTTGAGGGAGTTTGGGATTACAACCTTCCCAGTCAGGCCTGCAGATGAGAGCATGGCCCAGTCCACATTTCGATGCGGGCCTTGTAGGACTGCAGCAGAGGACCCAACTGAACCATGCCCAGGCCTCTGAGATAATAAATGGGTGCCATTTTAAGCCACAAAGTGGTGACTTGTAACTTGTCATAGAAACCAGCGTATCCTCTGAACCACACAGCTCTTTATCTGTAGGATGAACAATGGAAATCTCTCTGCCAGAGAAACTTTTTAAGGATCACAAACAAGAAAAAACTTCTTACAATCTGCTCCAAATGTCCAAAGTTGTTGGAAGGAAGACCACAGAATTGGTGCTTTCTTCATCTGCTTCAAGGTGGATGACCTGCCAGGTGCTGCCAGGTAGCACAGCGCTCCTTGTGAGATCAGGCCAGCAGCCCAGGCCACCTTATGCCTGTCTGAGGGTTCTGGCCTCACTGGGAGCCAGTGTGGCAGCCTCTGCCTGAGACAGTCATCCCTACCCACTCCTTCTGCCCCGAGGTCTCCCTTTCTTGCTGGTGTTGGAGCTGCAAAACAATAGTCTTGAGGGGTGTGGACACATGCCCCAGATTTGGGCTCACAGCAGGACCCTTGACAAGCCTGTCCTTCTCTCTGGGCCTCACTTCCCCACCTGCACAATGAAGGCATCATCAATCTACATTGGTTCCACCTTTTAACCGAAAAATAAACAGCACTGAACCGAGTCGTTACCACATAACAGGCCTGAGTGAAGGGTCCCTGCTCCAACCTGGAGGCATCTTCACTAGGAGCCTCTTCAGTCCAACTCCCATGCCAGTGCTTTGGCCTGAGGGCTAGCTTGCCCTAACTAGCTGTGTGGCCTCAATGCATGTCCCTCCACTTTCTGGGTCTCCGTTCTCAGAGGTGAACATGGCAGCTGTGTGTTTAGTTCCCTGTGTTGCATGACATGCTACCACAAATCCAGCCACACACAGCATCACCCATGACCTCTCAGCTCCTGAAGTTCAGGTGTCTGCGCCCAGCTTACTTGCATTCTCTGCTCAGGATACAACAAGGCTAAAATCAGAGGTTAGCCAGGCCACATGCCTTCCCAGAGCTCAAGGTCACCTTGTATGCTCCCTGACTATTAGAACAACCTGCTCAGCTGCAGCTGTGAGAACGAAGTCCTCATCTTCTTGCTGACCATCAGAGGGGGGCTGCCCCGGCTTTCTGAGGCCACCCGCCATTTCCACCAACAGGCTACTTTGCCCCTTCAAAGCAACAGGAGAGCAACAACTGCACTTCCAGGTTTTCGGATCTCTTCTACTTCTGATCTTCACACCCTCTCTGGTTAGTTTAGATCTACCCATACCCAAGAAGAGGGTGATTCAGTGTGTGCCCACTAGGCGGTGGTAATCTTAGGGACCATCTTAGAATTCTGCCTCCTGCACGCCCCAACGAGGCTGTTTTCAGAATTAAATGGGTTAATTATTATATGTGAAGAATATAAAACATTGGCCTGCACATGGGGCCATCTGCTTAAGACTGGAATTCATGTCTCTGTAGCCAGCTCACTTTGGGACCCACAGTTCTCCTCTTACCCCAGCCTGCTTTATTTCATGGTTATTTCCATTTACCTCCATCCCTCACTCCCTTCCTGGACCAGGAGCACCTTGAGAGAAGGAACCATATCCTACTTTGTACACTCCAAGATGGTCCCCAACTCCTTCTGGTTGTCACTTCCCTCCTATGAGGAATAGGGTTGGCCTGGGTTACAAATAGGATATTGCAGAAACAGCAGAAATGTGACTTCCAAGGCCCTGTGGCTTCGCTATGCCCTCTCTGATCTTTGCTCTAAGCAGCTGGTCATCATGCTGGAAGGATGCCCCAGCTATCCATGGAGAGAATACACGTGGGGTGGGAGACTGAGGCCTCCTGCCGGTAACCAGCACCATGGGGGAGCCAGTCGAAAATGAGTCCTCCAGCCCCCATCAAGATTTCAGAAGCCTGCAGACCTAATGGGAACCTTGACTGCATCCTCCATGAGGGACCCCACACCAGAAACACCAGCTAAGCCACTCCTAAATCCTCAGCCTACAGAAATTTTGAGAAATCACAAGGCTTTCTTGTTCAAAGCCACTGAGTCTTACAGTAATTTGTTACATAGCAATAGAGAACTCGGGTAGCTCTCAATCCGTATTCACCAAGTTCAATTAATACTGAACACACAATAATATCTAACAGTCTCTAGTGCCGGTCACTGCTCTGAGTGCCGGGGACACAAAGGCTCACGCTCTGTTGGGAACTGGCTAGTGGGTATCCAAACAGGCCAACGAAGACAGTGGGATGCTGGAAGGAAATCCAGCCAGACAATGGTAGGAGAGCAGAAGGGAGCCGCCCAGGCACAGCTATGCTGCTGAGACAGGGCAGGGCAGCAGGCAAGGAGCCAGAGGTGGGCAGGCTAGTAGAAGTAGGGGAACCAGCAAGCACGATGGCCCCCAAACTGGAATTAAATGAAAGGACAGTCACGAGCCAATAAAGGAATAGAGGTGAGTGACTCAAGATTAACCAATAATGTTTGGTAGATACAAAAATCTCCATCCTCATTCCACATACTCGGGGGCTGCCAGATGGAGCTCTAGGTCCTCACTCAAACCTCCTTGTGCCACTGTACCCTGTCCCTTCGTGTTTCCTCCACAGGCTCTTGCTGAGGACCTCCCTCTCCCACAAAGCCAACTGTTAGAGCAAGATCTGCAAACCCAAATGCCTATGAGGGCCAGGTAGACAATGTAACTGAGATGACAGTGGGGAGAGGTGGGGATTGCGGCAAGCTGGAAAGCACATCTCTCTCCCATCAAGGGTGGCCAGTGCTCAGCCCCAGCCAGCTGTCACCATGCAAGAGGCAGCTCTGGTGTCTTCAGAGCTTCTAACAGTCAAAAGGAGTGAGAAATCCAGATTTTTGGTGAAACTAGATTTTTACTATGTGGCTAAAAAGTGTCAGAACTGGCCTAATGAGGTTCTTACACAGCATTTGGCCCCACAGCTGCTTCTGGCTCTGCCAGGCATCCTGGAGAGACATCTCCAGGCCTCTGGGGGCACCAGTGTGGGGCTTCCCAGCCTTCTTTTGGAAGTCCCCCTGGAGCATCCACATGTGGGCAGCTGGCAGGGGCACACTGACTGTGGAATCGATGGGTTGAAGTCTTGGGAAGGTACAACCATCCAGGAGACCCCTCCCCCGCTTCCTCTCCTCACATCTTCTGCATTCCTGCTGCTGCCTGAGACTTTGGGCTTGTCAGTGTCACTCAGATGTTAGTGAGAAGCCAAGGAGAGTAACAACCAGGTGCCAGCATCCCAGAGATCCCGGAACCCACAGGCAGCTACTCCAGTCCATCAGCATGCACATCCCCTTCCTCTGAGGACAGCATCCAAATCTTCCCTTGGGGGACTGCCCCTCCTCAGTCCACCCATTTAGGTCAGGGCTCATGGTTAGGCCTGGAAGCCTGTGTCACAAGGCAATGGGCCTTCTGTTGTTTGGGCCACTCTGATTTGGGCTTCTATCACAAGAGCCTGAATGACCCATGGAATAAAGGATGTGTCCAAAAAATGATGGACATTGGGAAGGACAGGACGTGAATTGGCACAGCATGGAGATTCCATCCTCTTAGCAGGCTCCAGGGACGGTGTCACCTTCATCACCCTTTAGCAATAGAGAATCTGAGGCCCTCCCCAGAGCTGTTGGGTTCTACTTAGCACTGCAAGAAAATTCCAGAAAACAGGCAACTGGCAAGCTCAAATCAGACCTCTCTGAGTCGTGGTTTCCTCTTGAGAAAGTGAGGCTAATGATGAGCCTGTCTCCTAGAGTTCGGGGTGTGGCGAGGAGGACTAGGGAGAAGGCATGAGTGCACAGAGCCACTGTGCCTGGATCAGCTCCAGCTCGTGGTCCTGCAGATGACTGGAAGGAGTTGAGCACTCCAGCCCCTGAGGGTTCCAGCAGAAATGGGGGAGAGTTAGGAGCTGCAGTCACCGCTGAGGAGCACATAGACTGGGGGTTGAGTTTGGTTAGATCAGAGAAGGCCCAGAACATTCAAGGGAGGGACCTGTCATACAGATATTAGGGTCCTGGTTCAGAGGGTGGCTTCGAGAATAAGTAAGGGCAGAGGTCGACCTGGTCACATGGAATGGGAGAAAAGGAGATCATGGGGCAATGAGCCCAGGAAGGCTCAGGGGGTGGACATAGTAGGGGATTAGGGTTGGCAGAGAGCTTTCTTTTTACCTTGTATGGAATGGGAAGGATTTTGAGCAAAGGAGCAAGATGACCAAATAATGAGATGAGGGAAGAGTGGTCTTAAAACCTGCCATCCTCGGGCTTGCATTGGTGGGTGTGTGCATGGATATGCCTCAAAGAGAAGGCTGGGGGCATACTCCCAAACACGAGCAGCAATTAGCTCCCAGGGCAGAAAACTAGGTTGTTTTATTGTCTTCCCTTTGCTTATCTTTATTTTCTAATTTTTCTGCAAAGGCCATACATTGTTTGCATAATTTTTTAGAAAGCAATAAAAGCTATAAATAATTAACATGCTTTCTCTTCAGGACTTAAATTGGATGGAAGTGTATCCAACCCAGTTATCTCAGATATTTGCTATATTCCTGGTCTTAGAATGTCACCACTGAAAACCATACAGATGGCAAAGTATATGGGCTGCTGGGAGGACAACTCAGTCCTTCAACTGTGCAGCTCCATGCCCTGTGAAGCTGGAGCTCTTTCTCGGAGCACAGAGATGCTCTCTGAGTCCCATGTCAAGTTCTCCTTGAGCTTAACTGTGTTGTACTTCGGGCATGTGCGGAAAGCATGGAGGAGGCCACAGTCCTACCTTTTGGGGTTGATCTTCAGCCTTTTCTGCTTGCTGTTCCCACGAAATGTCTTCACCCTCCTGCGAAACAGTCCTTTCTTCCTTTCTGGATCAGATGGCTGGTCCTGGGACCTCATTCCTGGGACTATTGGGTTGGAGAGCTGAAAATACCAGGCATGTTGGCATGACATTACTCAAAGCCCTCGTGATGGGCAGCCCTCAGGGGTTCTCTCTGCAGATGGACGTCTGTCCATGGACATGAAACACAGAAATGCTACATGGACAAATGGCCTAACTTATATGGGGACTCAACAAGGTGATGGCAGGGTGTGCCTGAACACATCTTCCAGAACCCACCGGGGCTGACTCCACAGAGGAAAGTCCAGCTTCACATGGAGCCTGGGGCCACCAGGGCCCATTTCCCTCCTGAGTCCCTCTCCTCAGGACCCTCACACTGATGGGAAGGAGAAGAGCCAGACTGGACCTTGGATCTCCTCAGTTCCAACATGTTTCTCCTTGACCTGCACCCTCAGGGTGACAAAGATGCCACCCCCCACCCCAGGCTCCACCCAGAAGGCAGGAGAGCTGGCTGCAAGCCTGCAGTCTCCAGTATAGTGATTCTTCACTTTGAAATTTATCTTTTTATGACTTTCTTTTGTTTTGCTTGCACTGGGGGCTTTATTCTTTCCTGCCCTGTATGTGGCAGCCCCACCTCCCTTGGGAGCAGGCCAAGATATTATCATGGACAGCGCTGCTGCAGGAGGGACAGGGGCTGCTTCACCCTCACCCTTCTCTTTAGAGACCCTGTCTATGGAGCATGCCGTCAGCCCCCAGCCCAGGGCGAAACTGGGAGTTACCTGAGGCGTCTGCACCAGCTCTCCTCCTCCAGGGCTCCTCCTGGTCCTTCCTTGGTTGCTCACAGGCAGGGCGTCAGGACCTGCATCTTGGAGCCTGCCCCCAGGGAAGTGGAGAGCCTCGTACACTGAAGCGGCCTTCTCCTTCTGCTCCATGGGCAGAGGCAGGCTGCGGCTCAAGCAGCACCATGTGAGCCGGGGCTCAGCTCTCAGCGAGGGGAAGGGGCTCTGGGCCCCACAGCTCCTGGGCATCCCTAAGTGAAGTGACAGGGCCCGTTCTGGCTGGCTCAGAGACATACCCTGGGGCCTGGTGAGAGCCCTGAGGAAGGAACCAGGCTGCAGGGAGCAGCAGGGGGTGCGTAGTGCCAGTGGCTCTGAAGACAGGCCTTCTGGGGCATGCTCATGAGGGCCCCCCAGGTCCCCACTGGGAGTCCACAGATTCAGGACACCCTCAGATGTCCTGGACCTTGCCAAGGTACTGCCCATGCAAAGACGATGAATGGCGTGCACCTCACTTCCTGCATCCTGGGCCACGTGGGCATCACACGAGGGGGTGTCCGGGAAGGAGGTCATTTCCCAGGGGGGCCCTGTGGTTGAGCCAGGAGATTCCCTGGCTGCTGGCACTCTGCTGTCTGTCCCTTCTCTCTTCTCCCTTCCCATCTGAGACTCTTGTCCTCCATCTCTTGGCCTGGACCAGCTGGGGTGCTCCAGAATGCCATCTGCCCCACCTGAGGTTGGGCCTGAGCCTGTGCTGAGGGACCAGGGTGTCCCCAGTCCTGGTCCAACAAGGGATGCTTGTTCCTCAGGTGGCCCAATTGTGCAGAGAGAGTCTTGACCCTGCTGTGGCCTCTGGGTGGCAAGCAGTGCCGAGGGGATCTCTCCCTGAGGTACCTTAAGAAGGTACTTGGGGGGAAAGGCGCCCTCTGCCAGAGCAGCAAGGACACCAGGAGCCTGAGGTGGAGTACCCAGATGGGAGTGGTGGCCCCGGTCCTTAGCAGCAGCAAGCGATGTGGGCTCCTTGTCCCCTGGCCCTGCCCAGCTTGGGGAAGCAACAGGAGCAGTTGAGGAGGCATCAGAAGAGTCCAGGGCTTCAGCCACCAGATGGGCACTCCCATGTGTCCCCCCTGGCATCTCCCCATGGTCACCATCCTGCTTCTGACATGGCACGGAGGAAGCCTGCACGGGACCACCAGGGGTCTCTGCTCCCAGGGGTCCTGGCTGCTCCAGGGGCCCCTGCTCATCCACCTTCAGCTTCTTCCTTTCTGAGGGATGCTTGTCCTCTGCAGGCCAGGGCTCCCCAGAGTTACCACTGGGCCGTCTCAGGACAAGTTGGGTACAAGGACCAGTCTCCTGCATGCCTCCCACACCCGGAATGCCCCCTTCCACTTTGGAAGCTGGCAAAGCCAGCCTGGGCACTCCTAGGTCACCTCCTTGGAGTGGCCCAGGTGCTGGAGGCAGCTGCCATCCTGTTTCTAGCCCCTCATTTGGAGGAAGCAGAGGGCTCCTGTTGCCTGAATGGGGTGATCCTCTGCTACTGAGGGTTGGGGAAGACGCTGCCCTGGGCTGGTCACTGCCTCCTACTCTGGCTTCTGCCTTTCTCTGCTTAGGAGGCTCAGTCTCCAAGGATCCCTCAGGGGCTGGCAGACTTCCCCAAGACTCTGGCTTGGCCTCTGCAGAAATACCCTCAAGGATGGGAGTCCTGCTGTCTTGGGATGGAACTGTGCTCTCACCCCCCACTGCCTCCTCCTGGGCAGGAAGGGCCGGGTCTGTCCCACAGCCCACTCTCACCTCCCTGGCTTTCTGGCCTCCCTGGTGGCTGCTTTTCACTTTCTGGTAGAGCTTCCTGAACGTCTCGTGCCCATACATCTGCCACTTCTCCTGGGAGAACATCTTCAGCTTCCGCTGGCCACCCTTCTTACTGGTCGGTCTGCCCTTCCAGCTTGCCCCTGCGGCCATGACAGTTCTCTTTCCACCAGGGTCCTCCATGAGGGCCGGGGTGTCTCCAGGAAGGGCACATGGCACGTCTTCCACGGCAGCCTGTCTGACCAGGGCCCGGGGGTGGCCACTGGGGACATCTGCCAAGGTCAGCCCAGAGCGGCAGCCCAGCCGGGCTGGGGTGGGCCTGGGGCTCAGGGGCTTCTGTGTCCTGGGGCAGGCATCCTTCAGGGCCCGCGGCTCCGGCCATGTCCTGGAGCCCTCAACAAAAGGCAGTGAATTGCTCCTCGTGATGGGGACATATTCCACAGTGGTGGACAGCTGAGTGGGGACAGAGTGGAAGAAGAGGGGCCGTAACTTGTCCAGAGGGGTGAAGGTAGAGTGGGCGGGGCTGAGGGCCGCCCTCCTGCGGCCAGGCTCCAGGGCCCGGATATCAAAGTGGAAGGAGTCCTTGTAGGTGTAGGGCATGGGCAGGTCAATGCTGCCCTGCTTGGACAGGACGGTCTTGCGGGGCCGCACGTGGTCCAGCTGGGGGTCGTCCACCACAGCCTGGTTGTGCGAGATGAGCTGGGCGATGCGCTCCTCCAGCCGCTTCTTCTCCAGCTCCAGGCTGCTCCCTGGCACTCCCGGCTCAGCCCTGATGCCCCCAGACCCCGTGCCCAGGCCTCCCTCCCCCTCGGACTCGGCGCTGTGCTCCGACAGGCTGTGCAAGGGGCTGGAGGGGACAGGCGGCTGCTCGGCACTGTCCGAGCGGGACAGGTAGCCTGAATCGGTACTCTCGCACTTCCTCAGTCGGCCCTCCGGGACCTTGGCTTCCCAGGGCTTCTCGGAGGAAGCCTCCTGCTGCCGTTGCAGGGAGCACGACTTCAGTTCTGGCAGCTTCCGCGGGGGCTGCATGCTGGCCAGCAAGATCCCAGGTGACGCCATCTGGGTGGAGTCCAGAGAGGTCTCTCTGTGGGCAAGTGTGGACCCTGGACAGGAAGCAGCTTCCGCCTTCACACCTTGGTTCTTGGCAACAAGGGACAGAGGGGCATCTGGGGAGAGGGGTGTCTCTGGTGCTCCTTCACCCATCCTCTGGTTCCGACTCTCCCCGCTGCCATCTGCTGTGGAGAGATCTCCAACCCTGTCCCCCTCCTCTGGGAGGCTGCTCCCACCCCCGTCAGACTCCAGGGATAGCCGGGAGTTGTTGAGATGAGTCTGTGTCCGCCTGTGCTTATAGAGGTTACTCTGGGTCTTGAAGGCGATATGGCAGGTGGCACACGGGAAGGGCCTCTCACCCGTGTGGGACCTGATGTGCTTCTCCAAAACACTGGGCTTCAGGCAGTCCCGGCCACAGTGTGGGCAGAGGTACCTGCCGGCATTCCGTGACTTTCCTGGGCTGCCCAGTGTGGGCCCCAGGCCTGGGGACAGGACAGGCAGGGCACCCACAATGTTCACTGTCAGTGTTGGGGCAGCTGGCTTGCCTGCCTGGGTGGGGCCAGGCCCTTCAGGCTGGAGCAGGGGACTGAGGATGAAGGGCACACTGCTCCCATCCAGGCTGCCTGTCACTAGAGGGGCTCGTGGCTGGAGGCCTCCAGGAGGCACCGTGTGGTACAGTGGAATGGGGAGGGCCTTCAGGAGCACGGTGGAGGGCAGGCCCTGCTCTGGTGGCAAGATGACAGGACTCAGAGTCAGGTGAGGTGAGGCCTGCCCAGCTGGGGGCCCTGGGGGCCCAGGTGCAGGAGCTGGCTGGTCCCTGGCAGCTGGGGCAGAACAGTTGGACTCTGGAGCCTCCATTCCACATCTCTGAGTGGGCCGGGATGTTGGGCAACCTGTGGGTGACAACCACACTTTACCATGGGAACCTCTCTTCTCTCCATCACTAAGCCCTCCCTAACCCCACGGGCATTTCCTACCCCTTTGAACCCTGACCACAGTCCCCAAGTACTCTTGTCCCCTGGTAGGAAAGAGCAGTCCCATCATGCCACCAACACATGGCACAGGGGTCATCAACCTGGTCTCTCTGAAGCCTGGGTCTTATTTAACATTTCCCAAGGGACCCCCAATTTTTGCCCTCTTTAGGCCCATGGTGGCTGGTCACCATCACCCCCTGGCACTGGCACAGTGTCCACGCAGAGGAGACACTCGGAAAATGAGCCAGTTTCATGAGAGAGAAGTCAAGGTCCTCGACATCCACAGTCATTAAGTTGCGTGACTTACCCAGGGCTCAATTTCCAGATCTGTAAAATGGACGGGGAATCAGGCCCTTCCCCCACAGGGTCTCTGAGCCTTTGATATAAGATGAAGACAACAAGGAGAAAGGTGGGCCATCGTGGAGGCTTGCCAGATCTCCCAAACAGAAGCATAGGACTCTCAGTTATATTTGAATTTCAGGTGAACAATGCATAATGAGTATGTCCCAAATATGCCTGAGAATTACTCTTAGTGTAAGTATCTCCATGGTTCATGCTTGTACTGAAAATTGGATTGTTGACCTGAAATTCAAACATAACTGGGCACCCTGTGTTTGACCTGGCAACATGCCGGGAAAAGGAGCACTCCTCAGCCTCCCGAAAAGGCTAAAAGGTGGAGGGAGCTTCCAAAACCCTTCGAGATCCAGATGGGACAGAATCAACTCCCTCTAAGCAGAAGGAGCAGCTGAGCAAACACCAGGGAAAGGAATCAGAGGGGCTAACTCTGCTCTCAAACCACCGAGGGAAAGCTAGGTGTACAGGGATGGTGGCTGGAGGATGCTCGAGGGGCAGTCTACTCCCTGGGAGCCCCACAAGCACTCCATCTCCAGCTCAGCTCCTCAAGAAAACCTCCCAATTCCAGCCTTTACCAGGCAGATTGTCTGAGCAACATGTGTTGGACGTGGCCACTGGGTGGGCCAGCTAACACCAGCACGAGCTCAACAGAGTCAGTGGTTCATTTTTCAAAGATCTTGCAATCCAGTTGTCAAACACAGCCCTAATTAGAAGCCAAATTATATAAGCTTACAACTAGGTGAATTCTATTAACAAGAAAGATACTACCACTGAGTGTCTACATGCGAAAGAGCAAAGTCACCTCCACCTGGGGCCATATGCAAAGATTCATTCAAAATGGATCATAGGCCTAAAGAAAGACCTCAAACTATAAGACTCTGAAGAGAAGACAGGGTAAAATCTTGATTTTAGATCTAGCAACAGGTTTCTAAGATAGAACCTAAACCACAAGCAGCAAAAGAAAAAACTTGGTAAATTTGATTCAAAATTAAGGACACTATCAAGAAAGTGAAAAGATATAGAATGAGAAAAAATATTTGCAGATCATCCATCTGATATTGGCAGAATGTGTAAAGAACTCTCATATACATAAAGAATGTATAAAAAACTCGGCCACAAAAGGACAAATGACCCAATTGTAAAATTAGCGAAGGATTGGAACAGACGTTTCTCCAAGAAAGATACACAGTTGTCCCAAGAGCACAGGAAAAGATGCTGAATATCATTAGTCATTAGGGAAATGAAAACAAAACCACAGTCCGATATAACTCTACACCAATTAGCGTGACTAGTAATAACCATAAACCGAAAATAGAAAAATAGCCCTGTGCAAATTCAAGTGTTGGTATAGATTTGGAGAAATGGGAATCCCAAACGCTGCCAAAGGCCATCAAATGCCATCGCTGCTGAGGAACACGGGTTTGGCAGTCCCTGAAAAAGCTAAACAGAGCTGCCATGTGACCCAGCATCTCCACTCCAACGTGTTCGCCCCAAAGAATCAGAAACAGGCATTCAAAACAAAGCTTGTTCAGAGTGCCCGCTCCTGGTAGCTCCACTCCACACGGAGGGGAAAAGTGTCACGGCATCCATCAATTGAGGAGTGGGCAGGTCAGATGCAGCAGAGTGTCACTCGGCCACAGGACAAAAGTGACACCTGCTGCAAGGAGGGAGCTTGAAACGTCCAGTGAAGAAAACGGAAGGCCACATGCAGTGTGAGCCTAAGTTAAAAAAAAGAAAAAAGAAAAGAAAAACAGAATCAGAAAATATTTAGGAACAGAAAACAAATCACAGTTGTTGCCAGAGGATGGGAAGAATGAGGAGAGACCACTTAAGTGGGTAGAGGGTTTCCTTTAAGGGTGATGAAACTAGGACCGAGGTAGATGTGGTAGTTGCACAAAACTCTGTATATAACTAAATGCAACTGAGTGGTGCACTCTAAGATAGTTAGAGGGTGGATCTAAGGTCATGTGAGGTTTGCCTCAATAGAAAAAGGTCCTGTTTGAATACAAACATTTTAAAAGGTACTCCCTCTATCAGATAAAAGTGGTCAGGAAAGCAAGTACTTTGGACTTCTGTCACAAAAACATCCTAGACTGGGTGGTTTGAACAGCACCCATTCTCTGTCCCTCCCATGGACCTCTGCCCAATGTTGGGGATCTCATGGCACCATATCACCTGCAAGAACACGTGGCCTCAAAAGACTGGAGAGCTTATAAATTTTGAAGAAAAGATTTAGAAAAGGTCTTCAGAGATTAGTAGGTGGCTACCAGACTCGGCAGAGCTGATGGAATGGGATAAAGTTTTCCCTGGGATGCTGCCCTTTCTACGGGCTGAGGAACGAAGAGCTTCCTTGGCTCTAAGAACCATGTCAGTAGGGCTGAGCCACTGGGAAGATCAGATGAAATCATTCATGTGAAAACCCGGAGCGCTGTGCCCGGCACAGGATAAGTTCTCAATTTATTTGAGTGTTCAATAACACGCCATAATATTTTGAACTATTAAATAATGGATCCTCCCCCACCCTATGTTCCTCCTACCCCTGTCTCTTCCCCTGTCAATCACTGCACCAGTCTCCATCACCTCTGGGAAAGGATGAGTCTCAGGTTGGATTCCTGAGAAAGGGATTCCATTCTTGGGGGAAGGGACCCCGGGAAGTAGGGGAGTGGGGAAGGCCAGCTCCAAGTGTGCCACAGACCCCCACCTGGGCAGCTGGGGCAGGTCCCACAGGGGAGGGGAGGGGAGGGCCCCAGTAGGTACCCGTCCTGGCAGTCCCACCTGACCACGGAGGGCCTGAAAAGTGCCAGAGCCCTAAAGGCTGCCCACAGTGGGCTCCGAAACTGACTGAGGGGACGGATGGGCGGGGCTGCTGGAGTCCCTGTGGCAAGCAGAGGAGCCTGAGGAAGGAAACCTGATGGACCGCAGCCAGTTCTTCTGATGCCCAGGCTCCGAGAGGCCGGCAGGGAAGTGAAGGGAGGAGCAGAGTGGGAAGGGAGGGGCGCTTCCCCTGCGCCCCAAGGGGAGCAGAGGGAGAGGTCTCTGGGAGCAGTCCCCAGCAGCCCACAAGAACAGGGCCAGCACTCTCCACACTCCAGTCCCTGCAAAAGGGTTGGAGGCTACCCACAGAGTGCTGCCCCACAGTGCCTTCCCAAGCACCCACGAGGGGCCCAGGAGGACCAGAAGATGAGCAGAGGAGATACCGTTGAAGGGTCCTGAGGCAAGACCTGCCAGGGGAGCTGAGGGCCAGCACCACGTGCCCCTGTAGGTGACAAGAAGGCTGAGGCTGCAGAGAGGGAGCCTGCATCCAGACCCCAGGTCCCATGGCCACCAGCCACCTCTGCAGCCTGTCCTGTGCTCACAACACACAGAGGCATCTTTTTTTTTAAAAAAAATATTTTTTTAGTTGTAGATGGACACAATACTTTTATTTATTTTTATGTGGTGCTGAGGATCGAACCCAGTGCCTCACACATGCAAGGCAAGCACGCTGCACTGAGCCACAATCCCAGCCCCACCAAGGCCTCTTAGTAACAGCTGATACTGTGGCAAGATGCTGAGCCCACAGACACCCTCCTCCTGGGGGTGGGCATGTGGGGCAGAAAAACTCCAAGGGCCACAGCTGATTTTGGTCACTGTGAATGAACCAAGGAGAAGGCAAGGCAGAGTGTGTCTGTGGGAACCCTGGGAAACTGAGAGACAGGGTGAGATTCAGGGAAGGATCTGGGCAAAAATTCTAGTCACCTAGACTCAGGGACAAGCACTTACCCTGCTGCTACCTGAGACTCCCTTTATTCTGACAGTGGTGCGGCTCACCCCTCCCCCAACCTCCTGCACACTGGTCCTGCTCTTTGGTGCAGCTTTATGGAGGAGAGGTCAGCAGAGAGGTGAGAGAAATGTGAAGGAAGGAAGAGACCTTCCCAAGCTTTCTTCATCAAACCCAACCCAGAGGTGGGCCTGGGTGGGGAGAGAACAAGGAAATGCCACAAATAGGCTTTGGGAATATGTGTTCAGGGTCCTGGAAGAGAAGGATGTGGAGAAACTCACTGAATAGGTGGAGCCTTTGGGAAGGAACAGACAGGGTGCGGAGACAGCAGCTGCAGGTACAAGATTCCCAGGCCTCAGGTCATTCTGCACCATTGTCCCCTGCTTCGTCACCAGGCTGTGGCTTGTCCCTTCCCTGCATAAGCTCCTGTCTTTCTAGAATACCATTACTTTAAAGGGGAACCTATGCCCATGATAGTGTTAAAGTGCTTATGCCATTGAGTGGGACGCTTAAAAAATGGGTAAAGAGGTGAATTTTATGTCAATTTTTTTTTTACTACAAGTTTTTAAAGTATGTACAGAGGAGGGAACTGTCATTACACAATGAGTGGAAATATACATTCACACAAAAACCTGCCCGCAGACTTTATAGCGACTTATTCATAATTGCCCAAACACGGAAACAACAAAGGTGTCCTCCGGTTGATGAATGGAAAAACAAACTTTGGAAACCCAGACAGTGGATACTTATTCAGCAATGAGAAGAAAGGAGCAAGCTAGCCAGAAAAGGCACAGAAGGACCTTCA